ATTTGAAACCCTTTTCTCCCCCGAGAACTGTAGTAACAAAACAAAATAAAATGTGACGTAACTTTGCTTTTCTACAATGAAAATCTTAAAACTTCTACAATCTTCCCAAATATTGATGTTTCTTGGCATAAACTGAGTCAGATTTATGCACAGAAAATGTAACCATCACGTTATACCATCACCGCTCTTCTGTTATATTTTTATAACGATAACAATCAATACTAAATTTTACTCCTAAGCAAATAAAAACCTATGTATTCAAAGATTAGAACCGCTCGTATGTTATCTTTTTATAACGGTAACAATCGTCGCTTCCGTCACGTATTAAATCAATTAACCGCCATGATGTTTTTCTTGTTTTAGAAGACAAAATCAGAATGTCAATCACAGCTTATAGAGTCAACAGCTCCATCCACTTACAGTAATGTCGTTTTATTTATAGAAACCCCTCTATTATGATTCTCTGCCGCCTACTTCAATTAATCAACTAGAGCGCTGTAAAACCACTGAAACGAGTGTTTTTAAGGATGAAATTGGCTTCATAATCAATGCTAGTATGCAACAATCACTTAGTTATTCTGCGCATGCGTAAGGAATGCGGTAACTCAAAAAATGGCGCGCATGCTCAAAGTACAGACCACATATTCAGCAGCTGTTGGTGGTTATAAAAAACACATGTCAAAAGATGTCAAGAGATGTCAATAGAAGTCACATATCCTGTTGTCTATAACCTTACTATTGACTTTGTAGGAATCGAGATTTGGATATTTCCATTGGGGTATTTTGTATACCAATGTAGAATCCCAATTTGTATTCGATCACGGAAATTGTTTGAAATCTACCATCAACTTCTGGCCATTGAAAACAAAATCGATTCTATAAGTCTGTTGTCGAGATTTGCAACTAATTTAATGTTACCTTTTATGCAAATACCTTAGTTACTTTTCATGCAAATACCTTATTACCTTTCTTACAATCACAATACTTTTTTCACAAACTTGTTTTTTTAGCCAACTTAAACTTTCATAAGAAAACAATGTGTTTTAGTTATTATTTTTAAACACCTGATTCGCTTTAAGTCAATCATTACCTTCTAATTTCCTCTTTGTCTCACGGTTACACTATTCGGATGCGAGTAAAATTACATTTATTACCGACAGGGACTTTAACCCAGGAAACCCTAAAGCTAGAAACTCATTACCTCTCTTGTCTCATACTCCATACAATTTCCATTTGCCCCGGAGCGTGAATTTATTCTGTAATGCAACTCAATTTAAATTTCAATTCCGATTGTCAAAACCGTACAACTAAGAAAATGAATACGACATTGTAATTAAATTTAGAAAGCTGTTCCACGGAGTCCGTGTTTTTTTCACCCCATTTAACCTCTGACCTGAAGACCTGACAAACATGAAGACCTTGAACCTTCCAAGACTGAGGTGCACACGAGTGCTGAGAAGAGCTCATTAGGAAAAAGGCGCCTCGAAATGAAATTATGGGATAGTATGGGTTTGAGCACCCATGTATGCTATTAAAAACTTGAAGGACTTCGGGAGTGCAACCTTGTTATTTAGATGGTTTAAATTAACACAAGTATGTTGAAAGCTTAAAATAGTTTAACCTTTTACTGTAGACCTATAGTTCAAAATAAAAATAAACTTGTATTAATAAAAACAAAAAATATTAATTGCCCTAACATGCGTCTATAGCAAACTTTACTTTCTTTTTCTAGAGTGAATAGACGATGGTTGTTCCCTTGGTTACTTTTAATGATGGTGTCTTACAAATAAGGATGTTTGTTTTTTTAACGAATAAAAACCTCTACTGGTAGAAATATGAAATTTAAAAAAAAATCGCCCAGGTCTAAAATCACAGTTTTGATGAAGTCCAGTTGAAGGTCATCCATAAAATGTTTTCTATTTCTGCTTAATTCGCCTCCAATCTCAGCGGGATGTTTGTTTGTTTTTCAAATTAACACAAACATTTTCCTCGTCGCAGTTTTTCTCTTCTCATCCAGCCCACGAAAGGGGAAACTACCGGAGCTTTAATGCTAACATCGGCCGTTTTCTTTCAGCCGATTGGTAAAAGAAAATTGTAAAAAAAAAAAAAAAACTTTCTCTGAGTTTGCATTTCATCAGTTTTGCCTTTAAAAATTGATAATTATGATGACGATTTAAAAAATCCCGATGATTATAATAAAATGATTTTTCTCCGCACAAACAAGCTTTTCCGTAAAGTACGGAATAAAAAAAATGTTATTCCGGACACAATATTTAACAGTTATTAAATTACAGATTATCAGAAATTCCATTAAATTAAATAGCGGTTTTCTCAATATTAAATAGTACAACATTTAATGATTATAAAATTACAACAAAAATAATCAATTAAATCGAACAGCGGTTGTATATATAAATTAAAAGCACCATCTCTACCACCAAGATCACAAGTGAAGAGCTATACATCATCGATGGACCCTCGTTCACCCTATATGCCACGGTTTAGCCCTGCCTGCCCTCCCCTTTCATTTTGTTGACAGGGGTAAATAACTCCCACTATCAAAAGCCAAGCCGGGAAATCCTACCAAAGGTAACCTCAGTGTCAGATCAAACCAAACGTTGCTAGGGTGTCGAAACTAACCAATGATGGCACAATGAAGTTGGTTCAGAGGCGTAGCGACCCCTCCCAGCGCCCGGGGACAAACTTTCAATTTAGCCCCCCCCCTATATTTTTTATATTTATTATTAAAAAATGAGCTTATTTTAGCGCCCCTAGGGTCGGCGCCCGGGGAAATATGTACCCCCCCCCCCCGCCCTCGTCGCTACGCCTCTGAGTTGGTTTTATCATATTAGAAACCCCGGGTCTTTTTTTTTTGTCTCCGACCCGCATATTCGGGTCTTTTATTTTTTCTGAAACTATCTTTTGAATCAACCCATGTGTTTGTTTTGTATTAAAAAAAATATTTTTGGCGGTAGCGAAATTTATTCCAACCTCTTTAAACTATTATCCTTAATTAAATGACAGTTATGCTAACGAAACCTTTACAATAGATGGCCTGGAATTTAATCAGCACACAAACGCGAGCTCAGATCTTTAAGAATGGCGCTCATAAAGTCTAAGCTAATTCCGGGGGCAGGAAAAGCCTAGCGGAAAAAAAAGCTTTCAAAATAATTTTCAAAACGTAAACACGGACAAAAAGCCGGTCGGGTAAAGCTCAGAAACCAGGTGTAGAGATTATGTGAGATTATCTCTTCAGCAGAGGTAAAATCTCTGTTGTCTTTTCCTCTCAGATGCGTTTACCTGTTATGGGTTTCATAATCTGCTGGGAAAATGAGGAGGGGGGGGGGAGCATCCGTTTCATATCATTTTAGCAATCGTATTAAGCATTATGCAATGTAATGATATTGAAGAGAGAGAAAAAAATGGTGTATATTATTCAAATGTTCGCTGTTATTGAGAAGAATTTTTTTTAGTTTTATTAATTTTTAAAAACAAATCATCCAAGCCCTTTCAGGTCTTTAAAGAAGAATTGAGAATATTCAAATACGATGCTTTGAAGAATTTAAATTACTTTAATGTCGCGTTTTGTATTTTTTACTTGAGCCCAATATGCCAGATATGCGTTCACCTTGCCAGTCTGTATCCACCATTGATAGAAAACAGCATTGCCAGATTTTGACCAGAGACACGTTGAAACTTTCCCTGCCTTCAGCTAGTGCTCATTGTTTGTTTATTTATGTAAATTACACTAACCTCCCCTGGTGTACTAGGTTATTTCCCCTAGTAATTTTAAAACGTGATTTGAAGTTAAAAATGTCCATGCTAACTAAATACTAGGTTCATGTGTATATAATTATTTTTCTTTTTAATAAATAATAACCTAATTTGTCTATTCTACTCAATGTTTTAAGAAGTTTTTGTGAGAGATTTATAAAATATTACTCTAGTACGAGCAACAGACTTGAAACCAACGGTTTTTATGTTCTTAAACTTCCCTCCAACGACTGCTTTTTAAACCAAGCGCATAATTTACTTCTCATCTTATTTTGGTAATTTTTATATCCTAACATTTTTTACTGTACAAAACTGTTTTTAAAAGTCTAATACCAATGAGACAGATTTAAATTAATTTATTGCGTTCTATAATTAAATTATCGTTGTCTTGAATTTAGTTGAGGCCTTTCAACTAGCTGGAAGGGGAGGCTATTCATATTTTTATTCCCGATTTATAAAAAAAAATCACTTTGTCTTTATCTATAACGTTGAATTGTGACGTCAATGGATCACGTGTTTTCGACATCCCTGGAGGGTTAAAAACGGGAATAAAATTAGTTACATCCAAATCAGGTTAAATTAAGTTTTAATGTCGACACCAACCCTGATAAGATGAGGTATTTAGATCCGGTTGAAGCTAACGTTAAATAGTGGTAATGGTGATGTAGCGGTTCGCACTTTTTAATTGTTTTTGGCTACGTGAAGTTTTCTTTTTATTGTAGTACAAAAAACATGTAAAGCCAAACTACTGTCAATGATGATTGACGGTATATTAGTGAGTAGTTCTACAGGGAGGTAGTTAACAGACTAGGAAGTGGGGGAGGGATGGGGGTCGTTGGTAAACATCTATCCGGTGGGGATTGAAGGGGGTTCAGATCTCTTTTAACTAGGTGTTAGGCCTAAGGAGTTGGTAGGTTAAGGTATAGGGAATAGTATCGTGGCCTAAATTTTCTAATATTTGACTTGTAATTAAAATGTTGATTTTCGTTTGAGTGGTTTGAACGTTGTGTGCCATGGCTGTGGTTAACCTTTTGGGTGATTCTAAACCACAGCATTGATAGAAATTATAACGAATTTATATATTGTTTATAGCTTTGTCCATCAGGAACGATTACCACAGCTAGACGTAAAGGCATCCTATTTTATCAAGTAGGCCTCTATGAGATCAATTGTAATGTACAGTTCATTATACGTTTGTTTAATATGGTGATGTTTATTTCCTACAGCTGGTAACGCCCCACCCAAGGCCTGTCCCATGCAGGGGAGTCACACCTTTGTGCACAGGCGAAACAAGTGCACCGGTCAGATCTTGGTCGGCTGCTCAAACAGGGACTCGGAGGTAGAGGTCAAGACGGAATGTGCTGGAAGCGTTTCCGGTAGGTTGATACCTGCGTTAGGTTGTCACCTGGTGCCACTCCCACCTGTTCGTTGTCACCTGGTGCCACTCCCACCTATTCGTTGTCACCTAGTGTCATTTTCACCTGTTCTTTGTCACGTGGTGCCAGTTCCACCTGGTGCTAGATAGTTACCTGATGCCAGACTCTCACCTGGTATTGGTTTGTCACCTACTGACAATCTCACCTCCACGATATCCCTCCTAGTCTACCTATCACTTGGTATATGTCACCTCGCCTAAACCATTTCTGCGACCTAATTCAAACTGACGCTTAATCCTCAACAAATCTACCATTTAATATTTCTTATTTTATTAAAAGCTTTTATTTAATGTACAGTAACCTACTAAATTACACTATAACACTGATTATAAAAATAAAAGAAGAATTTATCACAAAAACAAATTTTCCCATCCAGTTGAATTCCTTCAATGCTATGAGAACTGGACTGACGTAGACCGCATCTATGTTATAGCCGGCCACGTCAATGACCTACGTAAAGCTGCCGATTGTTTGGTAAGTTTGAATTAGAAGATCACGTCTAGTTAAATCTTGTATTAGGTTTTAGGTTTAAAGTTTATTTTGGTTTGTAATAAAGCAGGAACTACTCTATTTAACAGTTTTTAAGGTGATATGCACTAGATAAAATGTTCTGTTCGCTCAGGTTTTCAAGGAACAACATGATGGTTATTAAATTCTCTGTCTCCGCAGGTTTTTAAAGTCACACCTAATGGCTATGAGCTAGAGGCTGATGCCGAGTGTGGTAATGACAGGCTAAAGATCATGGGACAGCCTGTAGATTTCATCATCAATTCAGCAAATAGTAAGATTTTATTTTGAATCCTTTTTTGTCTACTTCGTCATACATCAAGGGGACAAGGTGGGGTTAAGGATTAGATCAGTGTTTCTTCCGGTCTTCCAGACTTTTTTCTCCGAGGAGGGGGGGGGGGACGACACTATTAAAAGTATGTTTACTATATAAATTCCATCGTGGGGGGGGGGGGGGGGGGATCTGCCTGGAAGAAACTCTGGATTAGATTCATAGTTAAGATTGTTTGGGGTATGCCAATGAACGTTAATTTCTTTTGAGATATAAATTTGTTACTTACTGTCAAATCTACAATTATTTAGGATCATAATTGAATGTATTAATTTTAATTATAAAAATCTATATTTTTTAACAAAATATTTTTATGGATATCCAGTTATTTCAACAATTTGTGTGTGTGTTAATTTCCAGAGCAATGTCCCACTGGAGTGCCCAAGACTGTCACAATGCATCCTGCCCTATCCCAGAATCCCCGGGAGCCCCCCAGGAACAACAAAAAGCCCATCAACCCACCAGAGATCGAGACGCCACCTGGTGGCAAACCGCCCACCGCCATCATCAACGCTGAAAACAGCAGCACTCGGCTGTCTCTGAGTGCAACCATCCTGGTGTGGGTTGTCTTAGTTGTGGTTGGCGCCGTCAACAGGTGATACATACACCTGTGGCAGTTCATGAAGCGTTTTTAAAAAACCTTGAAACAAAGAAAAAAAAATCTTAAATAATTGTATTGTAAAAAAAACAACCCCAAGAACTAATGCTCAATATTTCTACCTTGTTGTTAAAGCAACATATAGCCATTGTGTGAGTACAAGAAAAGTTAATTTATTTATGACGTGAATGTATAATACGTCATAAAAATTAAACTTTTGATCTAAAATGGAACAGAACAATACACTATAATCACAAGCCATATTTATATGTTCATGAATCAAGTAGTGATTATTAGAAAATATGATATATTTTTCCTAACCTCAAAAGACTAATAGGAATGTACCAATGAGGTAAAGATTTGAGTCATGTTTGGATGTGCCAGATTTTCAAGACTTTTCTGACCACAAGAATTATCTTGGCCAAGGACTTGTAACTGAAACAATATTGTTCATCTGATTGTGTGGTATATTATCATCTTGTTTTTGCATTATAAGCTACTCATCATTCAATGTTGGTTAATTAACTGAGCATTTTTTAAACCGTTTATGATCCTGTTTAAAAAAAGCAACATGAACAACAGTATTGTGAAAAATAAAAACTTGGATTGTGGGTGGACCAGAAATTTAAAAACACAGATTCAAATTTAACAGAATAATTTCTTTACTAAAATGAAACAAAACGCATTTATTAACGATAAAGTCAAAACAGTATTTTATTATTATTATTAACATTAACATCTAATTAACATCTACTTATTTTCTGGTGTTTGATATATATTCAAATATATTATACTATAATTTATATATTTCAGCTGATCATAGAAAACTTGTGTAAAATTGTACTGGAATTTGTTTTTCACACATTTAGAACATGTGAAACTATATTTATGTAAAATTTTGTAATCAACACAAGTATCATCTGGTAGAAGCTTGCCAACCAATCTATTGCTTATGTTACAGTTAAATAGCTTAGCTCATCACACATATTTGCTTGGCCATCTTTTCAACCTTCACATTGTTTGTGTGGGCCCTCCACACACATACAGTTTATCTCATCTCACATATCAACACTCACATATTTTGCTTGTGTTGGTCATGTTGTCAACACACGCACTGCATGTATTGGCTATCTTGCCAACCAACACGTGTGGCCAGTTTGTTTACACACAGCTTGTGATGGCCAATTTGTCTACATACATTTCATGTTGGCCATTTAGCCAACACACTTGAACCTGGTCACATCTCAGTAATAATTTAGCTATAATGTAATGACATTTGTATGTTGTATTTTGTTTTACCCCGTAAAGATGAACGAGCCCTTGTTTCCTACCATACGTTGATCCATCTGACCCTTTTACTACATCTACAAAAACAACTCATAAACGTAAAAACATATTCTAAACACGTTTAATATGTGATGATTGTAATAAAAAAAATAATAGCTTTTCAAACTATTTTTAGTCAGCCATTTTTTTTCGACTTAATACAAAAACTAATGACATATCACCTATTAAAAACACTGTATTTCGTGCTGGTATGAGACGATTCTTGAGAAGCTATTTAAGCCTTTGTACTTCTTGCCATGGACCAAAATGTGTTTGTTTTGCATTGTATGTCTAGAGCTTTGAAAACACTATTGATAAGAATCATGATGCTGTCGCTTTTCTTGAACAATAGAGTAAATAATCAAATTTATTTTCAGTTTATATGATCAGGAATTACCTTTTTTTTGCCTTATTGTTAAAAGATAAATAATAGTTTTGATTTATGAAAGAATTTTTTATTTAAATTTAATACATGAAAGTTTTGCAGCATTAATTATTTTCAGGAAGAAATATATCTTTGGTTTAAATTTAAATAATAAATTTTATAAGGTAATTAGTAATAAACAATTAATAAGTTATTGTTAAATTTAAAACATGATTTTATTGACATTGTGTTACTGACAATCACTATCTTAGTGTATCTTGTGTTCTGAGTTGATTATAAATGTGAGGAAATAAGTTAATAAGTTAAGGGTTAATCAGGAGACAAGCCATTGAGTTCTGTGCTAATGTGTTGAGGGATGGCCTGACACTGTAACCCATGGTTACTAAAGTATACAAACTGATGGCCTCTAACCAAGGATGGCCTGACACTTGAAGCTATGTATGGCCTCAAGCATACAGACTAAAATGGCCTTTAATTTTAAAAAAAACAATGGATGGCCTCATATATGAAGTCTAAGATGGCCAAAAAACATGAAGCACGCGATAGCCTGAACCTTGGAAATATAGATGGCCTCAAAAATGAAGCACAAAATGGCCTGGAACTCATAGCCATCAATGGCCTCAAATATGAAGTCTAAGATGGCCTAAAAATGAAGTAAAATGGTCTGAATCTTGTCCTGAAGCTCAATGTATAAGAACCATGCTGTGTTATCATGCTGTGTTGTTTCCTATGATGGTGTATCCATCACTGACATCTGTCACTGTCACTGACATCTGTCACTGAGGACATCATCTGTCATTGTTTCCTCTCGATGTCCACCATCTCATACTGTCTATAATTATTATGTACATATTGAGAGAATTTCTTCATACAAAATAATATCATTGCTTGTTGATTGTTCATAGTGGATTTTTTTATATCATCTTGCTTTTTTTGGTGTCATGTATGTTGATAAGTATTTATTAACGCTGCAAGAAGGAATATTTTTATCACAAATTGGTGTATAAACGAGTCTAGGACTGCTTGTGGCTTGTAGACTCACTCATGGCAAGGCTGTTCGTTTAATGTTGGAGTCAAATTAATTTGTACAATATTAAATGAAAAGGAATGTTTGTACGTTTTTTTTTTAAATAATTGACCAAGCAGTAGTTAAATGACGTGATTTAAAAGATGGCTAAGTTTTTTTGTAAGTTGTGTCATCATTGTATGACTAAGTGTCCACTGCCTTGAATTATGTCCCCTTAATTATCTCCCGTTTGTAGTATTGTGCTTGTTGTTATAAAAATAAGAAAGGGAACTTATTAATGAACTGAATAAATATTTGTTTTTATTTTGACGGAAAATACTAACGGAAAATAAATTATTTGTTTTTTGCGTTGTAACTTTATTTTGCTTTGCACTTAAAAGAAATGAAAATGAAACTAGGTATCATTTTTTCTTATAACCCATGGGATGTAATGACTTTATGTGATTGGAATCAGAGCACCAATCACTAACTCGTAATTAACGTGTGCAAGAAATGTAAGAATGCTTATACATAAATTCTATACTTGTGATATTTTATGCTTACATTGTAATGTTCTTCAACTTGAACATGCTTTAAATAATTTAGTTATTGTTTTAAAATTTAGCCACGGTTTCTGTTTCATTTTGTAATAATTAAAGCATATTTACCCTCTTAAATGTAGAAACATAGGCAATTATGGGGCATGCTACATTAAATATCCGTAGATACATCATTGCAAGAGAAATACATCAGAGATTGTGTTTAAATGACATCTTCCCCCCCCCCCCGCCCCACCCCTGAACTCGACGTCATTGATTGGGGTTTTAATGGCGAGCGCGCGCACCTTAACGCTGATCAATGGTTGAGGATATTGTCATGGCAACTATTGGTTCTGTTCCGGAGTAAATAGAATTTAACACGCCATGGACCAAAATTATCTTCTTTAAACACAAAAATGGTGTTTGAAAATAGTCATTACATTTTAGTTTTTTGAATGATAAATTTAGCAGTATCTTTTTTTTTTTGTTTTTTTTTTTTACAATACAGTCTATTAGGATGTGTTGTGTTGTCGAAATATTTCAAATCACACCTTAATTTGGATATGTTTTTCGAAATAAGTTTATTGTAGAGGAAGAGGCGGCAAATCGTGATCAGGGTAGGGTGGGGGTGAAGATGAAGGTCATAAGGGAGATGTGGTGGTAGAGACTATACTTAAATCAAAATCCCATGGCAACGTCTTTTTAGACACTACATCATTTTAAAAGGTAGGGTAGGGTTTGATGATGGTAGTAAAAACTAGTTGTAATAAGTTTATATATATATATATATATATATATATATATATATATATATATATATATATATATATATATATAATAGTGTAAAATATTTTTATATAAACAATTTAAACGAAAATTTAGTATTGTAATATACAACAGGCCCTACATTGTTGCCCTTGTATGAAGATTTTGTTCTTTAAAAATATATAGCCCTAATTGAATGTCAAACTTAAATGTCTCTCTATTTAAAAAAAACAGAAAAGTAAAATTCTAAAGCCTAAAGCATGATTGAAGTAAACAGGAAGTGTATTTTAGATTTGTTATGTTCACGTGACATTGTCGATGGTGACGGAAAGCGCCAAGAGCCCACGCGCAGACTGTCGACTTTTTTCGAGACTTCCGGTTTGAATCTGCCGGGCATGCCTCTTCTCCTACAGCCACGTCAAACTTAACCTAAAACCAAACGTGTTGAATTCAAGTCACATTATGACATTTTATTTTAACTTCCTGTTTCCTGTTGTTAGGGTTTTCTTTTTATTAATTTAAAATCTATTATTTAAAAAAATTGGTATGTCATTACTGAAGAATTTTTTTCTGATTTCTTTTTTTCTATCCCGAACTTTCTTATTTGCCATCCCTGTATAATTGCTGTCCATATTCTCCAATGTTACGATCATTTTGATTGGATGCCATTTCTGTGAAAATGCTATTGTAATTCGTTATTTTTAGGGCTTTGGTAAAAGGAGGATTTTTCAAAAATGTAAATGGAAACCTTAAAATTTCAAACAAAATTTCATCTCGCAATTTCTACTTTTATGTTTAGTAGTATTAATAGTAGTATTTGTTCAACACTGATTATGGAATATTGACTTTTTATAATCAAACCCCTGTATTTTTATTATTCGTTCCGTTGTTGTTAATATTTGTTTCTACCTTTCATCAATTTGCATTTTGTTTATTTCAGTTCTATTAAACTCAAACGATTTTGGTTTAAAGATTTTTAAAACAATCTAACACAAAAATTAGCAAGTTTTTAATTTAAAAAAAAAAGAACTCTTATTGCTAGGAGACGAATTTTTTATTCCAATAAATTTCTTTTAAACATTGCTTGTTCGCGTGGCCTGCTAGAATGTGGAACACGAGCTATAAATAAACCAGATCAGGAGACTGTATGCCAGAAAGGATTACTGTGCCTTTATAAATTATATCAAGCAATTCCAGCATAGTCTAGAAGTATTTCATTTTTTTTACGTAAAAGCTTGTGACTAATAAAATTGTGTTTTAATATCTAGAACTGTTCAGAGCAATTTAGAACTACTTTTAATTAGATCACACCGCATACAATTCCATTTGATAAAATATGTTTCATCTTCAATCATATTACGTGTCATGATCATGAACATAATTATAATAAAATTGATATCATTGTATGATTTTGATCAGCGCTTTGATTATATAACCTTGTTTGTCAATTTCACTTGTCAATTTTTTCCCGATGAAAACAATTTACTTTAGAGCGTTGTTTGTGAAGTCATTACTATTGAAGTCATTTGGTCTGTTTCATTAGTATTTCCTTCCTACACGGTTCGACCCAACTTCCCGTACGTCCGCCACCAACATGAGTATTTTCTGTACTGAACCTAGCAACAATTGCTACTTATATCTAGGATGGCTTGGTGTCGTATTTAAACGTAACTTGTTTTTTTTTTTTACTCCTATA